AGAGGGGCTGCGGGGCGCAGAGGCGGTAAGAACCAGCCCGCCTTGCCGGTGGACGGGGGCAGATTCCGGTAGCCGGCGACCCGGTGACGGTGGGGCGGGTGTGCAGGCCAGGTCGGTGCTCTCGTTCATTCATTTCTTAATCGGACGAATGCTTACGTGTGTGCGGTGCCGGGGACGGCCTGCCCGCAGGACAAGTGGCCGTCACAGTTCATTAGGGAGGAAACACGGTGCCGCGGGAAGCAGAAAAGGGGGAGTGATAGTGGAGCTGAGCTCGGAGGAATCATGGAGAAGAGCTTTGGGAAGGGGATGGCGTGGACACGGCTCAGGTGGCGTCAGGGGCCGAAAGGAGGCAGGGTGGCCGGAGGGCGAGCACCGGGCGGGGCGTGTGCGGGGCCCATGGGAGGCCTCGGGCTGGGGTGTTGGTCCGCCGGGCTGGGAGGCCTGCAGGAGTCTGTCTGTCGGGGCTTTAGGTGAAGGACCAATGTGACAAGCAGTGTGTCCAGGAGCGCCTCTGGCTGTTGTGCAGACTTAGGCCCCTGAGTCCCTGGAGGGTAGGTTCGGAGAGGAGCAGGGAAGCAGGCGTGTGCCCTGTCAGCACTGACGTCCCCACAGCCTGGCACACGCGGGACTTTGACAAAATCGAGCTGCGCCTGGAAGGTGAGCCCCTGCAGCCAGCAGGGCTGGGACCAGACCTGAGGTGCTTCTGCTGGCAGAGTGGCCTTAGACAAGCTCCTTCGTCTCCGGCGTCCTTTCCCCGCGTGAAGGATAATTCCTTCTTCCCAGCTTTCTTTCTCTATAAAGTGAGGGACAACTCCTTTCGGGAGAAAGAGAGACTCAGGAGGGAGGTTTCCAGAAGAGCTGCGTGGGGTCCAGTCCCTCCCGTTCAGAGCCTCCCCCTGGCCCTCATGAGTTACCCCGTGCATCTTTACCCCGATCTTACTGCGCTCCTCTCGGACCTCACCTTCCTGTCCTGGGCCTGTGCTGCTGTTGCAGGTTTTACCTTCTTCCCCTCCAAGCTCACGGGACCTTGAGGTCAGGACCAAGTTCACTGGCCACCGGCCTCTGTGCCTTTCTCACGCAGCGACTGATCATCACCCACGGCCAGAACTACGTGTCCACGTGCTGTCTCTCTCCTAGATTGTGGTTCCTTGAGAGAGTGGCTGTCTGACTCCTCCATAGTCCCTCCAGTGTCCAACACAAGGTGGACATTGTTAGTGTTTGATGAACCAGGGAATGAGAGCTCACTGATTGCCTCTGCTCACCACACAAGGGCAGCTGTGAAGAATCCAGGCAGGAGTGACCCACCCATCTCTCACATTTTAACAGGTCACTTAGCCCTTTAAAATTCCCTAGTTCACTGATGCATCCTTAGTAGCCTAGAGTGACACCTGTTCTTGTCCCCTTTTTACAGGTGGAGAAACCAGCATTTGGAAAGGTTAAATGACTTGCCTATGACGGCTGAGCCAGGATAAAGAATTTGGCTTTTTTCCCTGTAGCCTAGTAGACTGATAGGCTAGAGCCGTGGTCAGCAAACCGCGGCTCGCGAGCCACATGCGGCTCTTTGGCCCCTTGAGTGTGGCTCTTCCACAAAATACCGACTTCTGTGCATTGGCCACGAAGTTTCAATCGCACTATACGTGCACTCCCACGTGTGGTATTTTGTGGAAGAGCCATACTCAAGGGGCCAAAGAGCCGCAGTTTGCCGACCACTGGCCTAAACAAAGCCAAAGAACTGTGTCTGGGTGGAAATAATAACTTATTCACCAATTATTTTCT